TGATACCGCTCCGCCTGCAGAGAAACCGTGGAGAGATCTTATGCCAATGGACTGTGACAGAACTTCTACATCTATCTATTCGGTAACTTCCTAATGCCTTTTTTAGGAGTTTTTTTTGGCCTTCAGTGCTACTTTTTTAAATAAGATTTATTTCAAAAATGGTTTCAGAAAATCGGGATTAAGGGCGGTGCAGAAGCTGTAAAAAAGGGCAAAACTTTTTTGATCGCTACTGCTTCGTTGCTTTTTTAAACTGTATTTTTCAAGAAAAAAAAAAATCAGTTCTGAACGTTGAGTTTGAGCTGTCTTCGAACTGTCTTGCGTGAACCAAATTTCTCCAGTCATATCGGTAGTATTATCATTTTTTTATTGTTTCACTGTGCTTTTTTTTGGGGTCGTTCATTTATTTTTTAAAATTTTTGAGAAATTTTAGTCCGTGTTAGTTTCTAGTTGGTAGGATATTTCATTGTGATGCAAGAGTGACTGTATTCTTGATGAGGTGATGATACTTAGCATACAGCAGTGCTATCTTCAAATAGCAAAATTTTGCCAAATGCTTCAAATCGAGAGAGGGATTGACCCGATAATTTTTATACCAGACGGGATGACGTCGGGATTGTCGCCAGGCTGAGCACAGGCGACGCAGCATTGGTCAGAGCATCCGTAGAAACTACCAGTTTCATATTTGGTGATTTACAGCTATTCCAAGTATTCAGACAAGTAACCACGGTAGCTTGTGTATACTTTATATTTTTGTTCTGGATAATGTGAAATTTATCTGTTGACCGCTTTATTGATCCAGATATTCGTTGTCAAGTTTTTTTTTTTTTGCTTTTCTGTTCTTTGAAATAAATGCCAAACTTACCAATAAATCCAGATTAATTCTCTGAGATGCCTGTACTCTTTTATTTTCTATAATTTTTGATAATTTTTAGGATAGGTTGTGGTAGTTAATATTGTTTTATAATACCATTATAATATTTTGCTAATACCATTATAATGTTTTGGTAATACCATTATAATATTATCATTTAATACCATCATAATTTTTATCTCTCTCTCTCTCTTGTTCCTCCAACTTTAAAATATTTTCCTCTTAGCATATTCTTCAAAACATGCATAATTCAAAAGATGAGGTACTGCTTGCACTGCAAACGCTGACACCACACAAAATGTAATTATGGGCAAAATATGCGCACATTTCAGGTATGTAAATGCAGTACTCCTGACTACAGCCAATATGCAAATTTAAAAGATTGGCTTAAAATTGGCATACCGACGATGCGGGTAGCACGTGAGCTGCACAACACATTTGGCGCTCTCGTTTATACCATTCAACTAATCAACCTGCTCACAGTCCACTTTGATATTTGCATACCGGGACAGGTACTCCTTGTGATGTGATAGTGAATTTTTTTGATTTCTTACCAATTATGCATTTTGCTCCACATAATTCGCAGAACTTTCTTAGCATCAGTTTTATTATTTTTTTTTTTATTTTTCCGACTATTTTACAGTCCATTGCAATAATTTTAATGCTTTAACAGCCCCCGTTTCGCCTTAAAACATGCGCTTGGCATATTTTAGACCATAGGTAGAACTGGCAAGTTTTTCATGGTTTTTGCAACGGATCCTGTGCGAATTGGGAGTTAGCCTGCTGTTGTCAATCCTGGCGTCTATTTTTATGCGTTTTGTGCTGTGTAACAGCAATACATAACCCCTGCCCACGCTCGACCTTGCCTATTGAAATTCAACGTTCCCGCGCTCTTGAGTATCACCTACGGCCTCGTGAAAATTTTGGCGGGTAGACTATTAACTCGGAAGTCACGGAAAGATATTCACCCTTCAAGGTTTCGAATTCAGCTTTCATGCGTTGATGCGTGAAGTTTTTAACTCTTTTCTAATGTTTGAACTATTTTTGCATACAATAAAGTGCAAAGCAATGAAAATCATTAACAGGCAATCGTTCGATGGGCTGAATTGCACAAAACACATGATCGCACCGGCTAGTCTGGTGCGCGTTGCTATTTATTTGCTTTTGTATTTGTTTTTGCCGCGGGAGGGGGTTCACATTTTCCCACTAGGATGTTTTACGTTTTCTCATTTGTACAATATCTGTAATCATTTTAACTTCTCTTTTTCCTGAAACATTTCTGCCCCTTGTCATATAAGGCATAATCGAGACAATGCATACGACCTTAATTATGTTTGATTTTTTTAGATATCTTTTCAAGAATTCTCGCTATGCAGGAAATGGCTAGAGGGCTTGTTTGATACGGATATTTTCAAGCTCAATCACGCGGTTGTGCTGCTGTGCTTAAGCCTGGGCATTGAGCCGAGCCATATCGACTCGCGTCGTCCACTGGCAAATCTCTTGCTTCTCAGTCAGCATGTCAGCAGTGCTGAATTTGTCGCTAAGGTATTTCTGTTCCAGTCTTTTATGTTTGATCTGCAGTTTGTAAAATACTGGTTGTTTGCGTTTTTTGCAGCAATGCAATGCGAAAAACGCATATTGACGAGAGGTTGTCTGTGTGTCCGTGTATCTGTGCGTCTGTGTGTGCATCTGTCACGCACTTTCATCTCAGGACCTATAAAAGCTGCGGGGTTGAAATTTCGGGAACTTAATCTACATGCACGTACCGCCACCAATCTCCAAAATGGGCGTAAAACCCGCGTGGTACCCGCGTACGGGCCCGCCAAAGTTTTTTTGGGGTCAGTTCATAACTGGAGGATCTGAGAAGCAAGAAGGCTGAAATCTTGGGATAGTGTTTCCCGCCCAAGCGGGTATTAGTGGACTCAAAGTGGACCCAGCCTCCGGGTAAACGTGGTAGCCGCGTACGAGCCCGCCAAAATTTTTTTCGTGTAAATTGATAAGAGGATATACCCCGTCCACCTAAGTTTCATTCAGCTCGAACCCAGCTCTCAGGCATGCTTGGTCAACATGCACGGGCCCGTGAAAATTTTGTTTCAGTAAGTTGCTAACTCTGTGGCCACGGAAGCTAGGAAGCTGAAATTTTAAGGGGATGTTCCCTGACAGTTCTGGCGGCCAATTTTAATTTGTTTAGCCAAATCATTTGCCGATAAAACCGGTGCCGGTAGCAACAAAAACTGCGGGGAATCATGCAAAAAACGCATCTTTGCACGGACAGCCCGTGCGTTGGCCAATTATTTTTTTTTTTTCCTATGAAAATATTGCAAGTTTTCAGGTTCAACATCATACGTTGACTGCTCAACTGGCAGATTCTCTTGAAGCGGATCTGAGGAAAATTTCATGGGCCGAACGTGAAAGAGCGGTAATCGTTGCATTGGATTTTTGAAGATTTCGCAAGAGTTTTTTCACTATATGTGAAACTTTACTCCCTAGTTGTTTCTGGACTCTCAGATTTGCTTTAAAATTCCAAAAATTTTCAGGAATTTCGAGGGTTTACCCGGATACTGACTAATCTTGTTATTGAGAGTAACTAATAACCATATAGTGTTATGCCTTACTTTGCTCTGCATATAAAAGAGCACTTTTTTTTTTCAAATTTTTACTCTTTAGGACTAAAATAGGTTTTTTTTGGGCAGGGGAAGGAGGTGGG